TCAGACAGTGCGCCGCTCCCTCAGACAGTGCGCCGCTCCCTCAGACACTCCCTCAGACAGTACATCGCTCCCTCAGACACTCCCTCAGACAGTGCATCTCCCTCAGACATTCCCTCAGACAGTGCATCGCTCCCTCAGACATTCCCTCAGACAGTGCAACTTTACGTCAAACTGTCAAGAGCACTCCCTCTGGGAGCACGATGCAGTATTCCATGTGCCAGTGCAGCCCTCTGTCTCCCTCTGGCAGTGCAGCACTACATTAGATATTTTCTTCAAGTCAGTGACCTTCTGACAGAGAGCAGGGTGCCACCCAGTGAGTCACAGTTTACAATTGTGCTATTGCTGATGTCGCTGACCCTCACCACGTACTGACTGCCCATCTACTGGAACTTGTTCTCGTCCAGCCCAATTAATGCTTTGATTTTGAAGTCTTCATACTTAGTTTCTATTCCTCCTCAGAACTGCTGTCTCAATCCTGCACCTTCCGAATCTCCACGGCTCTCTCAGATCACAGTGCTGCACTTCCAAGTCCTCCAGTTTAACTATTCCATCTCTGGTCAACATGCCTTTAACTGTCTCAGCTCCTAAATTGTGGAACTCCTCCCTAAAACTGTCCACCACTTTATCTTTCTCTTTTCCTTTAAGACACACTGTTTCTCTTTGATCAAATACTTGGCAACTCATCTTCATAACTGGCCTGGTGTCAAGTGTTACCTTCATATGAAGTGTCTTGAGGGTTTTTAACTTTGTCAAGGGTGATAAATAAATGCGGGTTCTTGTTGTTACATCCTTTCGCATAGTTTTCCATCCTGATATTATGGCCAGCTTTGGCTTCTTTGGGAGATGTCACCGCTCCCCTGCCTGACGTGAACGAAAGCCAGAGACTGGGAATGCTGCCTGGGCTCTCAAACCCCCATCCCCCACCCACACCTCCACTGTTCCCCACTGACACCAGCCAGCTTGAGGCTGAGATCAGTAACTGAATAACCTAGTTCCTTTGGGGTTAAAAACAGACTATGTTTCAGAGAGTAGACTTCCCGTCTGCTGTTAGATCAGAGGCTATATTCAACGCCACTACCAAAAGTGGTGCTTCAGGAGCAGATCTGGGAGCTGCAGTGGGAGCAAAGTTTAAATCCTACACAACACTACAAACTGCTGGTGTCAAGTTGACTGTGAATCCTATTTTAAAAAAAGAGACTGCATTTTCCTAAATTACAATTGTTGGGAGGATGGAGAACTAGAGGGCACAGAGTTTAAGGTCATTGACACAAGGTTGGGAGACTCAATGAGGAAAAGCTTTTTCATGTACTGAGTGGTTAGGGTCTGTATTCTCTACCCAAAGGTGTGTGGTGGAGGTAGTTGCAATCAAGACATTCCCAAGGGAATCGGATTACTATCGGAGAAGGGAGAATGTGCAGGACTGTGGGTAATGTTCCCTCTCAGCTGTGAGGCCATGCAGTCGCTCAGGGGGGTCTGCACAAGCTGACCACCATGTGGGCACATTAACCCCCAGTCCCAGAAGCTACGATGGACCACAGGGAACATAAGTTACGGAGAGGAAGCAGGGGAGTGGGGAGCAGTTGGAGCTCCTACGGAGAGGCCGCACAGGCGTTATCTCTGCTGTCGCTGTTCTGTGGTTCGGTGAACAGCGACCATGATGGAAACCTGTTTCAGATGCACTGTAGGATGTCCCAATGTCATGACCAAGTGGTTAGATGACACTAGAGGAACCATGAAAAATTCACTTCTCTGCATCATAACGAGGCAGTGAAGAATGAGACCAGAACTGTGAGGAGGTCTTCACTATCAAGGAAGATTAAACAGACAGCTGGCATTCAGCCCTTTCAGCAACTGATGGCAACTGGTTCAAAGGTTTTAACCCCTTCCTGGGGTATATAAGGGGAGCCACAGACAGGCTGCTTCCACTTTTAGGATGACCTTCGCCTCAAGGCAATTAATCGAAAGCAGAGTCTAGCAGGAGTTGAGAAGACAGCAATGAGGGTGTGGACCATAGGAAGTGGTTGAGATGAAAACGTTAATTTAAGGGGAAGCTAGATAAATACACGAGAGAGAAAGGACTAGGAGGAGATGTTGTTAGTCTGCAACATTAGGTTTGAGTGGAGATAAGGGAGAGACACGTTTGGGGCTAAAGGCCTGCTTCCAGCTTTAAATATTAAAGAAATACATCGAAACTTTTGGCCACATATTCCAAGAACCAGAAATGAGATAATTTCTTCAGGAACAGGTTACACATGATCATCTGAGGAAGCTGTAGACAACATGGTCACAGTACATTACTGGACAACATGGACGGAACTTTATTCTGTATCTAACTCCGTGCTGTCCCTGCCCTGGGAGTGTTTGATGGGGGACAGTGTAGAGGAAGCTTTACTCTGTATCTAACCCCATGCTGTCCCTGTCCTGGTAATATTTGATGGGGAACAGTGTAGAGGAAACTTTACTCTGTATTTAACCCCATGCTGTCCCTGTCCTGGGAGTAATTGATGGGGAGAGTGTAGAGGAAGCTTTACTCTGTATCTAACCCTCTGCTGTCCCTGTCCTGGGAATATTTGATGGGGAACAGTATAGAGGAAACTTTACTCTGTATCTAACCACATGCTGTCGCTGTCCTGGGAGTGTTTGATGGGGGACAGTACGAGGGGAACATTTCTTCCAGTTTAAAAGAGTAGAGGGAGTTTTAGCTGAAGGCTGCCTCTCTCAATAATTGCTGACGGTCTGATGGCCTGTTTGTGGGCTCTGTGCACAGTCCTGCTCACCAGCCTCCAGCACATTCCAAGTTGTGTAATGGCAGGTCCACACTGATCTCCTCTCAGCTCATAGAGAGGATCACTCAACACCAACAGGAGCCCTCAGGCTCTGTCACCAATCTCTGTCCTGGGAAGAGGTGTGTGCATGTGGCCCTGGGGCTCTGACTAAATCCTCCTTTTATTACACTCTCTTTTTGGCCTCAGCTCTTTTCCAGGGTCCTCCATGTTTTGTCTTAGTCAACCACATTCTTTCTCATTAGTTTGTTTAGCAAATCGATCTGCACCCACCCCCCTAACCGTTTAACTCCCTTACTTTTCTCTCTCTATCCCTCTCTCCTCCTCTTTCATCAAACCCACATCACAACTAAAACAAAGAGAAAGAAACATATTATCAAATTTTAAATCCCTCTGCAGTTCCTAGGTTTTAAGAGCTTCCTGCTGCACGATAACAAAGGGGGAAACTTAACAAAAATTGCAATTATTTGTAACTCACATCTTGATTCGATTTAAGAGTTTAGTTCCGAACAAAACACGCTGAAGGTTCCATATGGGTCACACTGGCGCCCCTGGATCCAGTGCAACGTTTAACAGTTTCACGTTGGTCCTCTGGCACCACTGTTTGACCTCTCACTTGCTTCATATACCTGTTACTCTGGCTCCACTGCAAACAGAGTTTAACCTCCTAATTTCATATCAGTCAAAGCAACATTTTCTCAACTGGTTTTCAAAGTGCTACTCACGTGTTAGGCTCCAAACCAGCTTCATCAGACACAACGAAAGAAGGAGAAGTAGAGACAGCATCTTACTTCCAGGGCTGTTTGATTAAAAATTAATAATTTCTCTGTGGTGCGGGGTCAAATCCGTCAGATAGATACTTAAAGCAACAGCGAGAGGTTCTTCTCACTGCCTGGTGTTTGAATGGGTGGTTCTGCAGGAGAACGTTCTCACTTTGTGCTCCGTCTGGGAGGGAGTTCCGCAGTCCTCTACCTTTCAGCCTGCGATATGACAAGTTGATCCTTGCAGTGCCCCACCCTCCAAACCCCTTCAGTTCATCAGTGCTCACTATTCTGAAAAAAGCTCACTCGTTCCCTGCACAATTACGCCTCTTGTGTTAGACTGAATAATCCTTCCTGTAATTAACCCTGGCTGCCTACGATTCCAGTCAGCCTACAGATTGTTCAAGCCTAGCCCTCAGTTAGTGCCAATGATTGAGCGATGACTCACTCTGTATATTAGTGAATGGCTCAGGAGAGATTTAATAGGACAGCAAACAGCATCTAACTTCCCAAAATCACTGTCTATCACTTAAAGTAGCACAGAGGGTAAAAATCCAGAAGCTGCACACTTCTCTGATATGACTCACACCCTTTACCATAACGCTGTTATATCCCACACCACTCACTGTAACACTCTGATATATCCTACACCACTCACTGTAACACTCTGATATACCCCACACCCCTCACTGAAACACTCTGATATACCCCACACCCCTCACTGTAACACTCTGATATACCCCACACCCCTCACTGTAACACTCTGATATACCCCACACCCCTCACTGTAACACT